ACCTCCATGTGCAGATTTCGTGGCAGGCACAGCACTTTGTGAACCTCTATGTGCAGATTTCGTGGCAGGCACAGTCGAGGCGCAGATTTCGTGGCAGGCGCAATACAAAATGCGTTTTCGAGAGGTAGCGGACGCACGAAATGCTGTGTTTTTCAATAGATAGGGTGGCTCCGAAGCTTGCAAGTCTAGCTTTGCGGAACGCTGTGTGCGAGACGGTCTCGGATCATGGTCGGATCATGCTCGGAATCGTCCCTCCATTGTGATTAGAGGTTTCAGTTGTTTCTTGAAGTGCAGATTTCGTGGCAGGCGCAGCGGCGCAGCACTTTGTGAACCTCCATGTGCAGATTTCGTGGCAGGCACAGCACTTTGTGAACCTCCATGTGCATATTTCGTGGCAGGCGCAGCACTTTGTGAACCTCCATGTGCAGATTTCGTGGCAGCACCTGCAGCACTTTGTGAAACTCCATGTGCAGATTTCGTGGCAGGCACAGCACTTTGTGAACCTCCATGTGCAGATTTCGTGGCAGGCACAGCACTGTGTGAACCTCGAGGCGCAGATTTTGTGGCAGGCACAGCACTTTGTGAACCTCCATCTGCAGATTTCGTGGCAGGCACAGCACTTTGTGAACCTCCATGCGCAGATTTCGTGGCAGGCGCAGCACTTTGTGAACCTCTATGCGGAGATTTCGTGGCAGGCGCAGCACTTTGTGAACCTCCATGTGCAGATTTTGTGCAGATTTCGTGGCAGGCGCAGCACTGTGTGAACCTCGAGGCGCAGATTTCGTGGCAGGCACAGCACTTTGTGAACCTCCATCTGCAGATTTCGTGGCAGGCACAGCACTTTGTGAACCTCCATGCGCAGATTTCGTGGCAGGCACAGCACTTTGTGAACCTCCATGTGCAGATTTCGTGGCGGGCACAGCGACTTTGTAGTACACCTTGAGTACGCGGAGTATCTGGGGAGCTGGAAGATGAGAACTGGCGACTTTGTAGTACAACTTTAGTACGCGGAGTATCTGAGGAGCTGGAAGATGAGAACTGGCGACTTTGTAGTACAACTTTAGTACGCAGAGTATCTGTGGAGCTGGAAGCTGAGAACTGGCGACTTTGTAGTGCAACTCTAGTACGCAGAGCAAGCCGTGGAGCTGGAAGCTGAGAACTGGCGACTTTGTAGTACAACTTTAGTACGCGGCTGAGTCATCTCTATTCTGTATTTTGCAAAATTGCGTGAACAACGTTTTTTTCCTCTGAGACAGTTGACGGTGGTTGCTTCGCTTTCGCTCCATTGGTCGGCTCCAACTTGCTTTGTCAAAGAACATTGTAGCCCGGCGAGTCAGCCTGCCACATGCCACTTCCTATAGGCTTATTCTTTTGGAAACTTCCGCCGCCGGCTTGCCCGGGAACTACTTGTATATATAGACTGTTTAACCCTTGGGGAAACAACTCCCAGCTTTGACTTGACCTCATGTACTTGCGTTGGTATCAAGCAGGGGGACGTTGTACCTCCGCGTGTGGTTCCTTGTCGCTGCTTGCGATTTCCCTGTTCCAGGCAACCATACGGACCCTCAGAATCGCACTGGTTTGGGGAAATTGTCTCAGACTTTGGATCCTTGACCTGATTAACTGGCACGGAAAATGAACAGATTGCCAAAGGTTCTCTTGTTGTTGTCCATTCTTCATGATGTTTCACTTCTCGCATTTCTCGGCTGAGGAATTTCTTTATTTGAAAGTGGCCCAGTTGGAAACTGCAGTTGAGCCTCTTGCCGACAAAGAAGCGCCAAGAGTGATATGTCATGATATGTCGGAAATGTTGTTGAGAACTTCGTCCGGTGAAAGTTGGGACTTGGGACGCTTTTTGACATGAAATGGTTGATTTGCTTTGTCCTTGGCATCCGGCCAAGGCTGCAAAACATAGAGTTTAAGATTGCCCATGAAGACGCACAAAAGGAGATCCAGCACCTGAAGGACTTGGCTACGGGGTGGGAGGGTGCCTATAAGACGTTTTGTCATTCCAATCTGGAGGCTCAGACCAATCACATGTGGTCACCTTAAAAAGGGATCTATCCTTACGACGATGGGTGGTCTTGTCAAACAATCTTGAAGAGCAAATAGATTTTGCAATAATGGCGAGAACTGGACAGGACCGTTTGGATCACAAGGATGCGATGCTGCAGCAGCTGAATGCCAAGTTGAAGCACCATCAATCCCAATCAGGACATGGCAAGGAAGAACTCCAGGCCTGAGGCTGAGAGCAGCAAGCAGCTTCCACTTCATCTCGTATCATTTAGCTTTTAAGATGCCACGAAGCCAGCAACATCTTGAGGAGCCTGAACCGGTTGTTGCCAACAAGCACCGACAAGCGTGGGTACAAGATGCGACTCAAAGGCATCAGAAGCATCAAAAGAAGCTTTGGCACTGAACGAGAACTAATTCCGCGGCAGGTGATTCGGCGATGTATGAAGGAAATAGAAAAGACGTAGAAAAGAAATGAAAAGCATAGAAACGGCCTTTGAGGTCTTGTGTGCCTTTTGGCCTTTTTGTGCTGGACAAACCGTTTTTGTCGGTGGGGCATTGTGGGTGTTTTATTTTTCTGAGGAGCGCTCCAGATTGTTTGTTTACTACCCTTTTAATTTGAAGCGGCTTGAAAGTGTGGAAAGGTTAAGAAGTTCCCCACTGATTGTTTCCCTCTTCACCGATGGCCATGGTGCTGGGCTACTTTTCTCCTGAAAAACTGTAAGGAAGATGGATGAAAAAGCACATCGAGTGCTAAGAGATCCTGGTCTGCAGTTTGTGCATTGGGAGCTGCTATGGTCCTTGTGACGGGCAAACTGAAGGCAGTTTAGCAAAGTCCTGGTGCCATTGCCAGCAAATGCTTGATGCTACTACATTGACTTTTTGTCCTGAGGATGTGTTGCTGAAATTTCACCGGCAAAGTCATGGAAAGGACGGCACTGAATGTCCTTGTTGGTCTTTGCACGAAGCTCCTTCTTCCATACGATTGCGTGCTTTTGAATTCTGAACATGACAATGTCCCGAACCAATGGCCTTCAAGGCCAGAACATCGAGCTTCCTACCACCACAGATGGTTGACAAGTGGAATGTCCCACAAGACTTGTTTGAACAAACGTTCAAAGAGAAACACTTTGGGGCAGATTCGAAACAGCGGATATACGTATAGCAGCTGAAGCAAAGTGATGAAATGCTGAAGGATTGGGCTCCAGCTCCATCTCCTCCCCCTGCACCTGCTTCGCGTGCTTCGCGTGCTTCGGCTTCGCCTTCCCGGCCTGATAGTGCGCTCTTACAGCGCCAGGGCCGCTCTGGACGTGAGCAAGAATTGGACAACAGTGTGGCAGCCAAGGTGCCCTTGGGAGTATCAAGGATTAGAAAGCCCTGCTTTTCCTGGAACAAATCCAAGACCAAAAATGGAGCTTCAAAGCTTGGAGAGGTTTTCTCGCGTCGGCGATTCCCTCTTTGCAGGTTGTGGATGATATTGTGGATGGAGCGGAGGATGTTGGTGGTGCCGTGGTCGATGGGGCAAGTTCTGTGGTGACCAGTGGAACCGGATTGGTGGGCGATGCATTGAGCGATGCTTACAATGCTGCAGCTGACAAGGTGCGTCAGTTTTGGGGCAAGAGTCTGCATCAAGAACTGGAAGGTCTTCAGGCGTATGAGATCTGAACAAAACATGATGCAGGTCCTGCTTGGGGTGCTTGTGACCTTGCGCCCCACAAGTCAAGAAAGGCATCACCCTCATTTGCATGTTTGACTGGCACGCATTCTCAAGAGTGGCGAAGTTTGAGCACACACACGGGAATGTCCCACACTGGTCACCCGTCACCTGGCACCCACATGTCTTCGATATAGCGCACAAACCGACGGCGGAGGTGTCCTTTGTGGCCAACACCGTGATCGACACAGTGGAGCAGGCTTCGGTACGAGGGCGGCGTGGGAGAGGGTGCACACCATTATATACACACATTTGATCATTTGATGACTGTGTATGAGCTACGGCAGCTACGATGCTGATACTGGACTTTTTGCATTTGGCCTAGGGCCTAAGTATTGAAAGGATCTGAGTTCATCATCGGGGCCATCGTAGAAGAACCTATCTAATCCTAGATCGTTCCTTTTCGTCCATTGTCGGTCAGTTCAACCTGGAGAAAGGAAGGTATACAAAGGTTTGTCCCATACATGTGGATTCAAAGAAGCTTATTCAACAAGGGTGTTTTACGATGGATGTTAGTAGCAATTAGTATCCATTAGCTTGTGGGAGAAGCAACCATGCTGGCCCATTTTGGGTGCACTCTCCTGTGTTTGGCGTCCAGGACCTTGAAGAGGATTCTTTTGTTTCTGCATGCAGGCATGCAAAAATGTTCTGTGTGGTTTAACAGGCGTCTCTATCTCTGAACTGGCACCACACACAGTTTTGTTCATTGGAAGGCCGTGGCAATTCTGATCAATGGATTCGACTTCAGCGCTGGCTGCCCTCATTGGATCTGGCCTTCACTGCAGGTGAGCAATAGTGAGATTACCATTGGCTGGGGCCGGCAGATGTGTGAGGCCTGGGCTTGGTAGACAGGTGGTGCTGAGCTTTGGATCAAAGCGGGCCACTGTCATAGATAGCGCACTAATCGTGATGCACTTTGCAGCATTTCTATATTCCCACTTGCTTTGTGTCCCGACCTGGAGGTAGTCTTGGTGGGACAGAGGCTGACTTTATTTGATTTCAACTGGGGCACGATTGCTGTGCCCTACCCAGCACCTATTGCGGCGATGGTTGCCATGGGTTCCAACCTGGTGAACTGCATCAGCAACTGGGCAAAGAATGTGGCTGTTAGTGGGCACAGTCGGGGCAGAGAATTGTTTGATTTGTCAGCTGACAGCCGGTTGTTTGATGCTAGAGTTCCTAGAGGATGTGTTTGGTGTCAGTATAGGGCCCGGTGGGATTGACCAAGTGAAATGTTGACCCCGCCGTACAGCAGCAAGGTGGCGGTGGGCCAGCATTTGATATTTTCAAGTGTGTTGCGAAGACCATTGGAGAGACCTTGCTGCAGGTGGCAGGGTGTTCTGAAACTCTGTGCAAAGCATGAAGAATGCAGGTTCCCTTTGGTGATGACAGAACAATTACACACACCCATAGACCCCAAGCACAGTCATCTCGCCGAAGGAAAAAACTCAACAGCTACACACACCCGCCGGTTTGGGGGGCCACGGGTGTTGGATTCTAAACCCAAGCTTCGCATTCACAAAGGGAGCCAGCTGGAGACCCGACCGCAAGCGCCCAACCTGGGAAACAACATGAAAGGATATTAAGGAAAACAAATGAAAGAAACCAGCTGGAGACTTAACCACACCATCCCACACCAAGGCAACAGCTCGTTTAAAGCATTGACAACCTGCAACAGTAGACTGTTAGGAAACAAACCATCAAAAAGGCTACAGCAGGCAAGCTACAGGAGAAGGATTCAGGCCCCATTGCCAAAAATAGCCTTCGATTTTCTCCTTCCAGCGCAACTGCCCTTCAACCCCAGCGGGGGCGTTTCTGGTCGTGTTTTAGGTGGTGCCGCCCTTCAGCATTTTGACGAAGCTCTCGGCCATGCTCTCAGAGTTCCTGGCCTTCTTTGCGGAGATGGCCAGTGGTGCCATTTCGGCGGCCGTGGGAGAAACGACCTCCATGGTTCAGGTGTGCCACATGTTGTGCCACAATGTGCCGTATGGATCCGTATGGATCATTCATGATCATTCAATGTTCGCAAAGCAGGGTTTTTTGTGCTCTCATTTGAGCGAAAGCTTGTCAGGAAGCAGCCAGCAGTGGAAAGTTTCCGTCCAGTGGTGAGCAGCCCAAACTGGTGAGCAGCCGCAACACGGCCGAAAGAAGAGTCACTTCACAGTAGTGTTTGATTGAACCCGTTCGCAGTGAACACTCGGATCAAAATGATCAGATGCACTGAACGGGACTCGGAGAACGAACTGACCTGTGGCACTGTGGCCATGAATGTCTTGTCTTTCAGGCAGGGGGCTCTCCACCCATTTGCGCCGTCATGTGCATCACCAGAGGGTCCGCAAGTAGCTTGGCATTGTGGGTGTGGTGTTTGGATCAGATTATTCGAGCTCAGGTGCCACCAGCTTCCCTCAAAACACTTCAATGTATGTGTACCAGTACCAATTGGTTCTTAAGCTTTCCTGGCCCTAGCCCTCGAGTTTTGCTTCACTGAGGTCTTCCATGATGCAGGTCAAGGCAGGGACAGCAATGCCATTTGTGCCACATAAATTACATTCTCGTGCACCTGCAGGAAGAGCCTGATGACACTATGGGATCAGGTGCCATTGGCTTTGCAACCACTGAGGTGCGAACAATGCGCACGGAGGAGATAGTGATAGATAGATAGTGTGTGTGTGTGTGAAACCCTTGAAAATCACAAGGGAATCAGTTGATTTCAACAGGGGGACAACCCCATGGATGCAGTTGGTTCTCCAACGAAGAGGGCTGCATTCCATGGCTGATATGATCCTGGGACGCTGGGATCACGTTCCTGCTTTTGTGATGACTCCACTTCTCCCTGGCCCCTGCTTGTAACTAGAACAAGATCTCGGTTGTGGATTAGGTTCTGCATTAAAGTGCTAATGAGCTTGACCGACTTGCTGTCGCACCTGGTCGCATTCAGAGATTTCAGAGACTTGGTTGGACTCCACTCAATTTACATCCATTTACCTTTTCAGGCTTTACCTCTCACTTGACTTCTTAGGCTTTCATACTTAGGTGGGCGTGTGGCATGCGGCATTCGTTTTGCGGAATTATGCATTTTCTCGAGCGTGTCTCTCCTCAGTGGGAGCCCAGGGTGTACTCGAGGAGTCTCCCCTGTGGCCCCGTCGAACGGGGGCTTGTCTACGTTTCCATTGCTCAGAAACACACCGCGCGCGTAGGAGGTTTATGCCAAAGTTGTTTGCCAAGACTTGACGGATTATTGCAACTGAGTCGGCGGCCCTAGGGCACGCCAGCACGTGTCCAGCGGACGTGAGTAGCCAGCCACTTTGGCACGAGTAGACCGCAGCGGTCGGAGATTCTTTTTTAGGCCCATTGGGGCCTGTCAAAGCCTCAAGTGCACACACACACACACGGCGTGCACACTTTAACCGAGGCTAGGTCTACCTAGGTTCACTCTAGTGAGGTCTGGTTTCGTTGGTTTCCGGCCCATCCATTTGGTTCTCCTCCGGCCCCTCCATTTGGTTCCCCTTTCATCCCTCCCCCTTCACACATATTTTCTTTCCTCTTTCGGCTCATGTCCTCTTTGCCTTCACGTTCCGTTATCTCACTCCGTTCTTTCTTTGGTGCACACAACAGTCCGGCCCTCACCATGTACGCGCACACCTACTTTTAACCCAGGTTTCAGGCCGCCCAGGTCTTGATAATGAGGTCGGTATGGTTCATTGGTTGTCCCTGTACGTTTGGTTTCCCCTTCATCGCAACCACACACACTGGTGTTGTCTTGTCTCCTTTTCATGTCTTCATTTTTTGTCTTCTTTGCCCGCGCACAAGCACATTTGTTTGCTCCTTAGTTTTTGGGGCCCCACGTGGGGGGCGTGTGTGTGTGTGTGAAACACGCGAATCACAGCGAATCGCCACACATGCTTTGTGAATACTAAGAAACATACACATCTATATCATAACAAGACACTGAGACACACAATGCTTCTTATGCATCACAATTTTTCATAGCAAGATGTCATCATCTAAACCTGAATACAAACAATATAATGTTGACATAAAACAAAAAAAGGCTTTGCTTTACATCAACCATCCTTCTGCATGACTTTGGAGTAGTAGTTTTACTACTCTTGTAAAGCTTCACATGTGCTAGTACTAAGCTTAGTCTAGCCTTGAACTTTCTTTTCCTTACATTTAGCAAAGACCAGAACAAGGAACGCTTAGACTTAGTATAAACTTTCGTTGAACTTACTCAAGTTTTGAAGATATCTCATTAACCTACCTAACCTAGCCTTAACCTAGCTTTGAATTAGCTAAGTAGACGTTGCTGGGACGTAGCTTTTACTTAACTGCTAACTTAGCTAAGTACTATAGGACTTAGCTTGGACTTAGCTAAGTACTATAAGACTTAGCCTGAATCTAACTTTGACTTATAAGTTGACTAAGCCCGAGCTAAGTCCAAGGTAACTACTATAGAACTTTACTTAGACTTAGTTAAGTCAAACTTAACCGGGCTAACTCCTATAAGGATTTGTAAGTCAAAGTTAAATCCTACCTAACCTCTGTAGTAGTTACAAAGGTTTGAATCAAGGTTAGAAAGGTTATAAACTAGATTACAAGTCAACTTTAGCCAATGACCGGGCAAGTAGCTAACTTCAATTAACATACATACCGGGAACAATTGCACCAACGCCCGTGAAATCCTCGCGAACTTCTGCAGCTTTCGGAGCCTCTGCGGCCTCCGTGCATCAAGTAAAAGGCTTGAAGACTGAGAGCTTGGCCATGACTGAACCGGTACCATATGCATCTGTATTCCACATGGGGTTTTCCGTTGGGGGCCAACCCCCCCCCATGGATGCAGTTGGCTGTCCAACAAAGAGGGCTGCATTCCATGGCTGATATGATCCTGGGACTGGGATCACGTACCTGCTTTTGTGATGACTCCACTTCTCCCTGGCCCCTGTTCGTAACTAGTAACTAGAACAAGATCTCGGTTGTGGCTTAGGTTCTGCAGGCTTGCTGTCACACCTGGTCGCATTCAGAGATTTCGTTGGACTCCACTCCATTTACATCCATTTACCTTTTCAGGCTTTACCTCACACCTGACTTTTTAGGCTTTCATACCTATGTGGGCGTGTGGCATGTGGCATTCAATTTCCGTATGCGTTTTTTCGGGTGTGTGTTTGTGTGTGTGTGTGTGCGTGTATCGAGCCCACTTTGACTCGAAAGATCTCAAAAGCATGGGGTCGGGATGATGCATGTTACTCGGTCCTAGCTCTTCTGCTGGCATTCGTGACTGGAGAGCGCCGCTTGCAGAAAAGTTTGGGCCGTCCAGGCGATGCCATATGCCTCGATGCTGATCACCCAATTCGGAGGAGATGAATTCGACTCAGGCTTGGGGGATTCTTTTAAAGACGGGAGACTTTTGAAATCTTGTTTGTTTGCATCCCATCGGTGCCAGGCAGTTGTTTGGCCTTCGCGCCCAAGCACCGGACGGGAACTGGCAACACAGTGACCAAGCGAGACTGGCAAGTGCCCAGCCCAGACAGCACCGATTTCGTCAAGCTGGAGCCTTGGGGAGTGCCCTGCGACAACCAGTGGGCCAAGGACAGGGTCGGCTTAACTCAATTATATACAGTAGATGTTTATGATTGCCATGTAGCAATCGGGCCGGGTGTTCTTCCAGTGTTGTAGCTGGCCACAGTTCATTTACCAAGGTACAGTACTAAGTTGCCCTTTGGTTTGGCCACTGCATGTGACAATCAGCAGGACAACCCGACAAAGTGGGAAGGCTACTCGTTCTACACTTACAAAACCGTCATCGAGAAGTGCGTGGCGGTGTCCTACACCATGTCCGCCCAACCAGTTCTCGCCTTTGTGGGTGGCCTGGAATTTGACGCTTGTGCTGGTCGAGGTTGAATCATGATCGATCACCTTTATACTATATAATATTATATACCTTTGTTGGTTCATGGTCTTGCACAGTTTCCATCCTTACGGGCGGTTCTCAATTCACTTCTGGGTTTCTGGTTGAATGTTTCACCTTCCTGTAAAAGAACCATCTCGAAGAGTTGCGTTTGGCTGGCACATGTGAAACGTTAGGTGCATGTTGCCTGTGCTCCTTTAAGGTCTGTCGTTTCCTTGTAGTTTAAAATGGGAACTGAAGACCAACCTCGTTCATCGTATGCACTGTATACACCTTTTTCAGCGACTCTACTAGCCGTTACTAGCCACTTCTGGGGTCTTCTGGCCACCTCTGGGTTGGGATTCACTATCATCACCGCTGCGAGGACTTGATGCCAGCTCCTTTGGCTGAAGTCAGCACAGAGGTATGCTGGCCAGACCGAGTGACGGCACCAGATTTATCTCTCATCATCACAACTATCAGGATGCCTGGCATCAAGCTCACCATGCGTCCCCATATGTCATTTTGGTTTGATTCGTTTGCGCTATCGCAACTGACATTTATGCCCTGAGGGGATTTGGAAGTTTGCAATCGATTCACGACACATGAAAAGGGCAATGTCTCTGAGGACCGCAGGCATCGTCCTTTTCAAGCACACCATCCGGCTTCATAAGCGTTTTGGCGGCCATACCTCCTTTGATGCAGGGCACATCAAAGACACCATTGAGCGGGCTCGCAACTACTTCGGGAAGGGCACCAGTGCTGATGACGACAAAGCATTGCAAGGCATGTCACGAACTGCGTTGAACCAGGTGGCGAACGCGTCCAATCAGCGCACAAGTGTGAACACGACCTCCACCAGACGCCCAACGAGAAGCAAAGATGAGTTTGACCCTGAGTCAGAGGAGCTTTACATCGCATCAGCTCGATATGGGAAAGAAGGCGTCAAGGTGACTGAGAGCTTTCGGGGGCGTGAGGCAGCCGAACTCGTCCGCGCTGCGATGAAGAAGGCTTCGAAAAACCTGACTGTATTGCAGGAAGGTGAAGAGGGCGATGAAGATACCGCCATGGGGAATCACAAGCTTTGGGAGATAGGAAGCCCAGCTGGTGCTTTGGTAGGCTCCTTGGCGTGCCAAATGGTCAGTTGCGCCTTCTATATATATGAGTTCAGGAATTGCAGCCCAAAAATATAAAGGGAGGAGAAGATGGAGAAGGTGAATACCCTCTGACAGGCCTTTACAACTAAATCAAGAGCCTCGCATGAAGATGGAATGTGGCACGTTCATGGTTCCTTGTGGCTCCTTGTCTTCCTCAGGTTTCAGCATCATTGGTCAGCTCGCTGCTGGCGTCATGCAGATGAAGGTGCAAATGAGCTTCGGCCCTTTAGACTCGCCCGCGCGGACCGTGGATTTGCTGAATCTCGTTGATCATCTCCGGGTGGTTCTAGCTGCCATTCCCTTTGTGTCGCAGGCGGGTGTGAACTTGTGAAGTCGTAAGAAGTCTCACATGGCAGACATGCCCCGAGACCTCCAGTCTCACAAAACATGATGAGGGCAGGTCCAGGTACAGTAGCGAGGTTGTGAAGGACTATGTTTATTGAATGCAGTGTTCCTTCCTTGCTTGCTTGCTTGCTTGCTTCCTTCTTTCCTTGCTTCTTTGCTTCTTTGCCTGCCTGCCTGCCTTCCTTTCTTTGAAGGGCAACCTGAGAAGCCCAAGCATTCGTGCTTGTCCCGGAGGCCAGCAAGGAGAAAGCCATAGATGCGTTGACTACGACAAACCTTGAGAGTCAAATACCGCAGATCGACATCAAGGGTGCTTTGCCGTTGGTGAACGGTTGGGCTCCTTATGGAGGTTGGTTTGGCAGTCCAATCTATCGCTTGAGGGATGGTGTGTGCTCTGTTCAAGGCGTGGTGGCAGGCACGAATTGGGGACATATTGCCACTCTTCCACCTGCACCTCGATGTCCGATAAGTGTTATGAGTTGCAAGGTGTTGTCACAACCTTGTTTAATAGCCTTCCTTTTGTAGCACGGACACTTGTAGTGCACCGGGAGAACAGCAGGCGGTAAGCTCCAGCTCAAGCCGGCGTGCCGAAGTTATATATATTATATATATACAATGTCTATATATATATATAAACTAATCATAGGCAAGTCATCCCCACGCGAATTTCCTCTAAAAAATTGGACAACACGGATTATCCTAAAGAACAAAAATTACACCGGCAAGGGACCCCAAATAGTGTAAAGAGGAACAGATGGAACATGGCATCACGTGGAAGGAAAGCAGGAGCACACAGATGAAAGCACAAATATGAGAGGAGACATACAAGAGCACAAATGGGAGAGTGCACAGATGAGAGCAGCAGATGCGGAAGCATGTGAAAGACCAGAGGGACCAGGCGTGAGGTTGTAAGCATGAGAGTGCGACCAACGTAGTGCCAAAAATGCTAGAGTAGTATGGCTTGAAGGTCGTTGTAAAACAAAAAGCTACGACTGCAGACGCGCATGTTATCCGCGGTGGCAAGCTGCGAGTGCGTGCGATTGAAATTCAAAACCCTTCAAGAACATCTGCACATCGAGATTGACGAGCACAAAGGCGAGCACACATATGAGAGCATACCTGGATCCTCCTTTGGGCGGAAAAAAGTGCCGGACCTCAATCCGGCAAAATTTTCCGCCGGATTCCGAAAAAAACGCCGCAGATCTGAAAAAACATCCGGATCCAAGATTCTGAAAAACAGAGATGATAAAAGGTTGGATCATACACAAGGAAACTGCCATTGCGCCGCGGGTAGCTTTTCTGGAGCACACTCGAACCTTCCCGTTCCCATTGCCCTCGCCCATCTTGCGAATGGCCTAAGAGCAAAACCATCACACAATATAAGCAACTTGTGCCCAAGCAAAGACTTCCAAGAAAAAGCCAAGGAGTATGTGGCAAGGAACCCCTCTTTCTCTGCAACCGTGTCTCTAAAGTGTTTTTTTACAAAGTGGGCTGCTCTCCATGATTCTTATGCTTGTCAATGTTTCATGAAAGCTTGCCTCAGGACGGCCCCCCAATAAAGTAGTAGTAGCAGAACTCATGGTTCCTGTCAAAACTCTTCTGTGAAAAACTGTTCACAATCAAAGCCTGCAGAAGACTCAGTCCAAAAAAATACGCCGGAGTTACGGGAAATTACGCCGGAGTTACGGGAAATTACGCCGGAATTACGGGAAATTACGCCGGAGTTACGACGTGCCATTTTTGACAACTCTCTGCCAAACATTGAGATTCTGAACAACACATGTTCCACAGCCCAAAACTTGTCCGGCAGGCTCTGCAAACCTGCGCAGCTAGAACTATATCCCAGCGCCCGACATCCTGAAACAGTGGGAGTACATTTTTGCCTATGCTCTTTCAGCTTAGGTACACCCACTTGGGTCTTTCAACAGGTGCATCGCACTGTACCGGCTTCATCCGATTTCATATAGAAGATCACCTAAACGGATCTGATTGATCCAGTGTGAACCATGCTGAAACCGGTGGAACGAGAAAACGGCGGAACAGGCAAACGAGCACACTTTGCAAACAAAATCATTGCATCAGTAGTGGGTTTACCTTCAAAGAAATGCAGACCACAAAGAATGCAAAGCCTTGAGAATCCACATAAAGTGACTTGGAAAAAGCGCCGGACCAAATCCAGAAAAACGCCGGAGTTGGAAGTCCGGCGCCGGACCCTGTAAAAGTGCCGGACTGAAGATCCAGGTATGGGAGCACATATGAGAGCACAAATGTGACAGCACATACAAGCACAAATCTGAGAGCACATAGGCGAGTACATAGGAGCATTTCGAAGTTCACAATGTACCGCGCCTGCCACGAAATCTGCACATCCAGGTTCACAAGTACTGCGCCTGCCACGAAATCTGCACATCGAGGTTCACAATGTACTGCGCCTGCCACGAAATCTGCACATCGAGCTTCACAAAGTGCTGCGCCTGCCACGAAATCTGCACATCGAGATTCAC